GCCTTGAACTCACTATGTACCCTAGGCTGGCCTCAAACTCACAGCAATGGCAATCCTGCCTCAGCCTCCTGAGTGCTGGGACGACAAGGGTGCACCACCACCTCTCTCTCTCTCTCTCTCTCTCTCTCTCTCTCTCTCTCTCTTTCTTTCTTTCAGACAGGGTCCAGGCTGACCTAGAACTCTCTGTGTAGCCCACACTCACCTCAAACTCCTCCTGGCTCAGCCGCCAAGTGCTGAAATTGCAGGTATGCACACCATACCCAACTCTTTTCCTGGTGCCGGGTATTAAACCCAGGGCCTCACATGCTAGACAAGTGCTCCATCCCCAGCTCTCCAGCCAAGTCTTGAGTTGATCAGTGATACACCTACCATGGCCCCAATAGCACATGAAGCATATGTTGGCCTGTCAGGCATGCATACCCCTGTAATCCCAGCCCTCTGGAAGGCTGAGGCAGGAAGATCATAAATTCAAGCCCAGCCTGGACAATTTAGCAGTTTAGCAAGATCCTGCCTCAAAATAAAGAAATAAAAAGAACTGGGAATGCAAGTCAAAGAAACAGTCCTGGCACCAGTTTTGTAGGAGTTCCAAGTGTTTCCAGAAAGATCACATTAAGAGCATGGTTAGGGGCCGGGGATTTAGCTCGGTGGCACTGCACCTGCCTGGCAAATGAAAGGTCCTAAGTTGGATTCCCAGTACCAAAAAAAAAGAGCATAGTTAGGCAGAGGTCACACTCAGAGCAGGGCCAGTCATTTCACCATCTCTACAATAGCTCCTCCTGCTTCCCACTCTTGAAAGCAGAAACAGGGCCTGACCTGAAGGGGACCCAGGAGGAAATTAACTTCTTAGAAGGTTAGGAAGTTGCACTTATTGGGGAATAAGAACCACAAACTTTTGATGAGTGTTCTTTTGCTTTTAGAAGTGAGAGAGATAGATAAAAATATCAAAAGGCAATAGCAGGCCGGGTGTTTAGCTCAGTGGTGCCAACGCCTGCCTCGCAACCGCAAGGTCCTAAGTTCGATGCCCGATATAAAAAAAAAAAGGCAATAGTGTTGCCCCAACTCGCAGAATGAATTATATTGTGGAGTCATTTCTGGGTCAGATATCCCCTAAGATACCTGACCCTATATAGCTATGCAGGGCATAACGTCAATTTTGTCACAAAGGCACATAAATGTGGGTGTATAAAACCCACGTTTATTCTTTAGAATATTTCCATTGATGAATTATTAATTTTAATTTTATGAGTTTTATTATATTAAACAATGAGTACTTAACAGGAAAAAATATCACAAAAAATAAAGTATTGATTCTTTTTTTGGGTACCAGGGATTGAACTCAGGACCTTGCGCTTGCAAGGCGGGCAGCGGAACCACTGAGCTAAATCCCCAGGCCTGAAATTTCAATATTTATTGAGTATTTCTAAAAAAAAAAATCAAAATTTTCAACATCAACTGTTTTTGGCATACAGTCTAAAAAAGAACAACATAAATAAATTCCTTTATGAGCTACAATGAAAATTCCAATATCACTGTACAAAAAAAATAATCTTTACTTCAATTACCACACCTAAGTCTTCACATGTGACACCAGCATGTTCCATACAAACGTATCACTTACATTGACAGAACATGTCTTTTTGCTTTTTGGCCTTTTTTGTAGGACATACTTGACATCTCACTGGTCTTGGTATTGTGTCACGAGGTTCTTATATTACACGATGTATAGTTAACAGGAACATAAAATATCAATAAACTAAAGTATAAAAGTCTTAATGTGTATTGTGCATTTAAAATAAACACCAACATTTTCACATGATCTTTGCTTCAACTGTCACACCCAAGGAGTCCCCACACATGACAACTCCATGTTCCATGCACAAGTATGGCTTACACTGATAGCACATATGTTTCATTTTCCTGTCCTTCCTTGTAGGGCACAGTTGACATCCTTTTGGTTTTCCTGTTGTCATAGCAGGTCTCCGTGATGTTGCACCTGACTGTTCAGCTGTCAGCTCACCACTGTGCTCCACAGTTTTTTTGCATAGTTCCCTGGGCAGAAACACTTTGTTTTTCCACTGCTGTAAATGATCTCCTATGAGTTCCAGTCCCAAGCCTCTAAGAAAATTTCTCTGTGGTATTGCATTTCTTATTTTCTTTGTAAACTATCAAACTATTTATGCCACACATGTTTGGGATTAAATAAAACACAACCATTGGCCAATGCTTTGAGTTTCGAGTGACATCATAGTTGCTGCATAACTCATCAACATCTCCTCCACCTTTGGTTTTGTTGTAGAAAGTTCCCATCTCGGGCTTCCATTTTGTGGAGGTTTCCCTATCAACATTTCCATCATGCAATGTTGATGTGAGCAGTACCAGTTTGTTTTTCTTGGTCACATTCAAAGCCTATGTAAATCTTTCTGAAATTTAAAGATTGTACTATACAATTCTCTGTTTTGAAACTGCAAAATTTCATTTGGAATTTCTACTTTGTTCCTGTATACAGTTCCTACGCTGGTCAACTTGTGCTGTGTTAGCAAATGTAACATTCATTGGAAACTGGTAAAGCTAGTGTTGAATGTCACATTCCAATTAGTTTGGGATATGGGAGCAGCAAGTCTGTTCACAATATCATTCACTTTATTACTACACCAATAAAGACAAGATGGCTGAGTTCCAGGATCAATTTCTAAATTGAGAGCATAGTAAGTTTTCACATCTACAAGGGCATAAATTTTTATACCCCTTTTTTTTTTTCAGTACCAGGGATCGAACTTGGGGCTTTGTGCTTTCGAGGCATGCAGCAGCACCACTAAGCTAAATCCCTGGCCTTTTATGCCATATTTTGACCCACTGCTTTTCCATAAGCCTTCCACATTCCTGCAATTACCATGAGAAATCTCTGCTAACTACAGCAGACCTATGAATGTTTTCGGTTCAGTTAGTGAGGTGTCATAATAAATACATTTTTGAATATGGCTATCGGTACCTACAGAACATTTTACTTCTATTTCAGCTTTTGTGCATTTCACAACATATTGTAGCATTTCATCTGCTACAATTTCCAACATTACCCGGGCGTGGTGGCTCACACCTGTAATCCCAGCACTCAGGAGGCTGAGGCAGGAGAATCGCCATGAATTCAAAGCCAGCCTGTGGTACATAGTGAGTTCAGGGCCAGCCTGAACTACAAAGGGAGACCCTGCCTCAAAAACAACAACAACAAAAAAAAAAACAATTTCCAACATTGAGTGGCAGTGCTGGCATTCTGTCCAATAATTTCACCCCTGCCAAGATCCTCACTATATTTTCGGACCTAGTTCTAACATCGGTTCATTCCATTTGGTTGTATGACCATTTTGCAACATTCCAATAGTCAAATATGCACTTACATTGCTGTTTTCTTTGTCACCTGAATTAAAGAGGTCTGCATTCCCTGTGTCTGTATCAGTCAATTCTTGCTCCATTTCACTGTCACAGGAAATTTGGCTAGCATGGCCAACGTCAAAGTCATCATCATCTCCATCATCCAGCATGAGTAATCTAATGATTCACTTTTGACCTTCTCCAAAACTTGCAAATCTGGTTTTTCATGTGCCATTGTGCTGAATTGGGCTACTTCTACCAGAAAAATCAAAAGAAAACTTTTTTTAAACAAATCCTAAATGCACAGAAGTTTAGCAATGAGTATGTCATGGGTAAAACTCACCTGTTGTTGCTCTGAAGCTCCGGTACCTTGCCATTTGTCTGCCAAGTGGGTGAATGCACAGATGGGTTTTTGCTACTGTGCAGCCACTGTGAGTCACGCCTAAATCCCACTATGATAAAATACATGTTTTCATAACAGAAGAGTGGTGTGGGTGTATTTTACCTCCTGTGATGCTCAGGTAAAAATATGCAAAACCTGTTAGCCACAGCATTATGTGGGTAAAAATCCTGGCTTGACACTTTTGCATACACCTTATCGTTCATCATTCATTGCACCAAGTGAGTAAACACAAAGATTGCTTCCTGTATCCACCAGGCACAGCTTCTGAAATGCACAGCCAGCTACTATTATGCTAAAGTAAAAATTTATAGTAGAAAAGTATGGGGTGGGTTGTTGTGACCCAATGTTATGCCCCTTAACCCCTGAGAGGTTGAGCCAGGCCTAAGAAGCCATTGTAATTATATTTTATATTGACTATGCAAACAGTAATTGACAATATTAAAGAAAATAAGAGGCCAGGGATTTAGCTCAGTGGTTCCACCACCTACCTGGCAAGCGCAAGGTCCCAAGTTCGATCCCCGGTACCAGAAAAAAAAAAAGAAAAAAGAAAAAGTCATGTCTATATGGGATTCTGGGAACCTGAGGCAGGAGGATTGCAAGTTTAAGCCATGCCAGGACAACTTAGTGAGACTCTGCCTCAAAATAAGAAATAAAAGCAAGCTGGGGATGTAGCTCAATGCAAAGACCTTGTGTCAATCCCCAATACAAAAGTACATAAATAACCCACGTCAGCTTTTCTGCACAGTTCCTACCCACATCCTGCACAGACACCAACTCATCATGACAGGGTAGCTTTAACTCTGTACCTGTTTTTGCCATGTATGTTAGCACAGATGTGTTTCATGTAGCTTTATAAGAGTCACAATTATAATTTTAATGAACATAAAGTATTCCATTAAGTTGAGAAATAGTGTTTTACAATTTTAAGCAATACTGAATTAAATAATTTTCCAAATTATAGGTTTTTGCTTCTTTGGATTATTTCCAGAGAAAGAATTATTTTTAAAATTAAATTACTGGAGCAAATTAGATGCACACTGAGGGGCCATCCAAAGTCACTGCCAAATGACTGTCCCAGTGGGTTGTACAGTATGCAATTCTGTTTTTAAGCAACACTTACAGACCATGAGACCGTGTTACAGTTTCAAACCATTTCATAAATTTCATCTCAACCATCCGGGAAGTCAGTACGATTTTCACTTCCCGGAGCAGGTAACTTAGCAGATTAGCTGCCCCGCTCTGTCCTGTGGGTCTCCACAACAGGGGAACTGGAAACACCAGCCTTGCGACAGAAGTGGCCGTGGGTTCCCATTCTGACACATGAGAGGGAAGAGAAGCTGACACTGCCTCTCCCTCACTTCCTGCCTAGAATGTGGAAGTGATGCTCAGTGCAAACCAAGTTATGAAAGAGCAGAGGGAGCAGAAAGGGAAGAGTCTCTTCACAGAGAAGATCAGAGAGACCAGGAGGAGGCCACATGGCCTCTGAGAGAAGCCGGGGTGAAGACCGAGGCCTGGAGCAGCCCAGACTTGGTAAGTGCGATCCTCACACAGCCTCAGAGCAGAGCCCCACGCCACACCACGTGTTCCTGTAGAGTTGTAAAGAAGTCTCTCTTCCTATGAGATGACTGAGTCTGTAGGGTTACAGCTGCTCTCATGATTTCTGTTCCATGTCGGTGGACTCAAAGAATCAAGATCAGTTAGGGGTTTTGTTCTTCCTACACCGCAAGCCCCTGATCGCTCTCTGAGCCATTTGTGCCCTGTAGAGCAGTGTGCAGAATGAAGCAGCCTGAACCAATGAGTTTCCAACAATCCCAACTTCAATTTTTTTTCTGTTGTCAAAGTACACCCCTGGTTTGTGGCCAAATAAGGCCAAGAATCAACAGGTAAAAGAACTTCCATTTGACCCCAATAGAAAGATAATTTGGTGCTTGTCTTAGTTATTCTTCTCATCGCTGAGACAAAATACCCAACTCAAAGTTAAAGGAGGAAACGTTTATTCTGGCTCACAATTTGTAGAGGTTTCAGTCTAAAATCAGCTGGCTCCAAGACAGAGAGGCATGGCAGAGGGCATCTCAGAAAAGGAATACCCCACGAGAGACAGAAGACCGGAAAAGCAGCAAGCAGCAAGAACAGCAACAGCAACCTTCTGTTCCTTATATCTTATTCAGGCTACCCTGGGTAGCACTCACATCCAGGGTGGAGTAGCCTTAACGCTAGCATTGCACCATGAATCAATCCCAGCATCATACACTCTAGATCCACCCACCTCTGGAAAGGCCCACCTCTGACCCTATGAGGCTTTGGAGGGACATCTAGACACAAGCCATAGCAGCACCAAACTATTTTGTGAATACTCAAACATAAATGAGCCCAATCTGTGTTAGGCACTGGAATCCACACAGCACCGTGGTTAAGACCATGGCAGTGGACCAGGGTTTGGCCCCTGGCTCTCCCTTGTACTAGAGCCTCATTTTCCTTATCATATAATAGGATATCATAATAGGATAATATCCTATTATCCATAGTAAACATTTGTCATGTTTAGGCTATGCAGAATCCTTTCTCTCTTCTTTTGCTAATAACACCTAATTTCTTCCGGTCAATTCCTTCTGTACCATTGCATGCAGTCTTGATAGTTAAGGTGCCTGGTCCTTCCTTAACTAAATGGGTAGTCTCTTGACCCAGCGAGAGCCATGTGGACTCTACTTATGCATTTTTATTTTGAGCACAGTGATGCAAAGATAGAAAAATTAACATTTGGTTTTCTTCTCTCTGTTCATGGGAACTCCAAAGCCATAGTTTCTTGCTCTTGTTGAGTTTGCTTCTTCAACTGTCCCTCCCACCCTGTGAACCACTCCATCAGCTTGGCAAGCCTCTTTCTTCTAAAAGTATGACTCGGAAACTGCCCACACCGTTTGCACATCTCTCATGTCATTGGTCAGAACTTAGTCACACGACCACACACAGCTGCAAGTAGCCATGTGCCTAGCTAAAACTGGGAATTGTATTCTAAAGAAAGGTGAGGAAAATGGATTCCAGAAGACAACTAGCTCTCCCTGCCACACTCTCATTACCTCTCTTGTACAGTTTCACAAAGTAACCATGATCCTCCTCCACAGGACCCTACGCCATTACAGCCACATTTCAGGGCAAGGCTCCTTACCTGGGGCTACAGGCCTCGGAGTTTGGGGAAAGGCTACAGGTATGGGAAAAGTTTTCCTCCAAAAGAGTTTTATGTGGTTAAGATCAAGAAATTAAGGGAAATGGAGGTTTACTATTTCCATATGAAGGAACACAGAGGTGAGAAAGGGCCTTCTGCATCCCCCCCGTTTCCTCTTCCCAGCCCTCACTGTGAGGGAGCTACAATCAGTGGTTCTGCTGTACAGTGGTTCTGCTGCCTGCCTTGCAAGCTCAAGGTACAAAAAAAAAAAAAATACATCTCTCCTCCTTTAAATTGTGGGTACTGGATATTTTGTCCAAGAGACAAGGAAAGTGACTAAGACAGAGGACAAGGGATGTGATCTGATTGTTGCTCTTCTGATTGGGCTTGCAAGGCAGGCAGCAGAACCACTGAGCTAAATCCCTGGCCCCCAAGAGATGTATTTTGACTCACAGATACAATTCCTAGTCAGCCAGCTCCAAGGCAGAAATCCTGCTGTCCTTCTATCACAGGACAGAAGAGGGCCATGGCAGAGGCACAATGCTCATCCCACAACATCCAGGAAGTAGAGAGAGATTCAGGACCACGGGACAAGGACACACCCTTCCAGGTCATGACCCAGACAACCCACCTCCCACCAGCCCTACTTCTTAACAGCACAATTAGCTACTTGCTATTGAACCACTGATGAGTACAGCGCCCCACGGTCATTCACCTTCCACACACATAGAATCTAGGGAGACATCTTAGACCTAAGCCATAACATCCTCTCCGAATTCCAAGAGTAAGCAGGAAACCTTAGGTGGTGTGCTGAATTAGACATGTGTCAAAGCCGGGCATGGTGGTACACACCTGTAATAGCACTCTAGGAGACTAAAACAAGAGGATTGCATGTTGGAGCCCAGTCTGGGCAACTTAGTGACTTAGCATGACGCCGTTTCAAAATAAAATAAAAATTAGAAAGGGCTGAGGCTGTAGCTCAGTGCAAAGGCCCTGGGTTCAGCGCCCAGTACTGCCAAAAATAAAAAAGAAAGAAAGATATTTGTCGATCCCTCCACTAGATTATTTACTCATCAGATATTTACTGAGAGCCTACTATACGTTGGGTGCTGTTTCAGGATCAGTTTATGTTCTTGGTGGGTAAATACTACACTTTCCTTAAAAGGCTGCATCTATCCCAGGGCCCAGCGCTATATTTGGGCAGGACTTGGTAACTGCTGGTTAGATGAACCACACCACAGGTTTGGTTTGGTTTGGTTCAGGTTTTGTTTTGTTTTGTTTGTTTTGCGATGCCCAGGGTCAAACCTAGGGCCTCACCTATGCTAGGCACCCTAGGTACCTTACCACTGATCTACAGCCCCACCCCGCATCACAGTTTTGATTTTGTTTTGAACATTTGCAGTCATTCATCCCCAGTATCCATTCCCCCTTCCTGGAAATTCTCAGTTTCCATTTGGAAGACTATGGTTTGGGGGACACCGATTTTTCCCCCAGCTGTTAGGGCAGAGCAATGAACTAAGCTAAACCAATTCATTTATCCCATCACCCTCGCTTACGTGACTGATTCGCTCACAAGCATGTGACCAATCCAAGTACATGCCAGGATAAAGATGCCTTTTCTCTTCCCAGGATAATGTTCTATGTGTTATATGCCTATATGTAGATTTTTTTTTTTGATCAAGGCTAGTTGGAGTCCTATATGCCTCACTTATCTGTATGTCAAGTTCTTTTCCCCTGCTTGGGAAGTTTTCTGTCATCACTTCTGTGAACAGTTTTTCTATGTCATCTGCACTCTCTCCTGTTTCTTCGTTGACTCCAATCAGTCTTATGTTATTCTTCTTTGCATCACCAAGCAGCTGCTGAATTGATTTCTCGTGGTCCCTTACAATTTTAAAGAAATTTTTCTTTTCCTGGTCACTAATTGCAATCTTATCTTCTATATCTGAAATTCTGTCCTTACACTGGCTCATTCTGCTGCATAGACTTTCAGTGGAGTTTTTAATCTCCTGGAAATCTGTTTGCATCTGTTTTATGGATTCCATTTGTTTCCTATGTTGGGATTCCATCAAGTTCCTCAGCTCTTTTTTTTTATCTGTGTCCTCTCTAGATTTATTAATCATGTCTTGCACTATGGGCACAATCTCTACTGCTTTCTGAGAAATTATTTCTGATTTCATTTTTTCCAGATCCTCTTTTGTTGCCAGTTCAGGGACTTCCCAGTATAATGTAAAAGCTGAAACCACTGTAGTAATCTTTACTACTCTAAAGAAAGTTTACCTGAGAGTGAACCAACACATCACAGAAACAGAGCCCAGTCCCTCTTGGAAATGAGAAACTCCTGATCAAAGCACACCTAAACGCTCTTCTACCTCTAGACTTTCCACTTGGATCAGCCAGCAAATCCATTTCATTGTTCAAATCATTTTGAGATAAAGACATTTCTCAAAAGAGGTACAAATGGCCAATAAATATATGAAAAACTGTCTAGCTTACTTAGCCATCAGGGAAATCCAAATCAAAACTACACTGAGATTTCATCTCACCCCAGTCAGAGTGGCTATCATCAAGAATAAATAAATGAGGGCCGGGGATTTAACTCAGTGGTCCCGCCATCTGCCTCGAAAGCGCAAGGACCCAAGTTCAATCCTCAGTACCAAAAAACAAAAAAAAAGAATAAATAAATGTTGGTGAGGGTTCAAGGGGAAAGGAACCCTGCTGGACCATTGGTGGGGATGCATATTAGTACACCCACTATGGAAATCGTGTAGAGGTTCCTCAAAAAACTAAAAGTAGAGCTACCATTCGATCCAGCTCTACCACTCCTCAACATATCCCTGAAAGAATTAAAGTCAGCATAGCACAGAGATAGCTGTATGCTCATGTTTATGCAGCATAAGTCATGAAAGTTTAAGCTACAGAAGCAGCCTGGGTCCCCTTTAATAGGCAGATAATGAGAATGTGGTATACTTACACTACAGAGTATTATTCAGCCATAAAAAACAAAAGGCATGTTATTTTCAGAAAAATAGATGGAACTGGAGACCATCATGTTAAGCAAAATAAGCCAGACTCAAATACTATGTTTTCTCTCACATGGGAAATCTAGCAAAAAATTTTAAATAAAAAAATGTAAAAAGAGAGATGACGTGAAAGTAGAAGAGAGACTGTTAGGGAAGAGGAAGGGGCTGGAGGAGAGGAGAAAAGGAAAAGGTAGGGAATGAGATGAGAAAATGATCCAACTATGTTATATGTATGCCAAAGTGAAACTCACTGTTCCATACGACTAACATGCAGTGATGAAGAAAATAAACATATAAATCATTTTAAGGTGAATTTTTTTATTTGCAACCAAAAATTTCCCAACTCGTGCAGAGAAATGAAGTTTTACATGGTGGAGGAGAACCCAAGGGTAAATGACTGACGGTTCCCAAAAGGCAGTCCAACACTAAGTGAAACACTGAGATGTGGGGCCGGGGGTTTAGCTCAGTGGTTCTGCCGCCCGCCTTGCAAGCACAAAAAGTACCGAGTTTGATCCCCGGTACCAAAAAAGAAAAGAATACTGAGATGTGTGTGGATCTCTACGGGGTTCCAAACAGTCTGAAGAAAAAGCAGAGAGACAGGTGTGGCACTGCTGCCCATAATCCCAGCACTCTGGGAGGCTGAGGCAGGAGGATAGCTCAAGCCCAACCTGGGTAACTTAGCAACTTAACAAAACTCGGTCTCAAAGTAAAATTTATTTTTTAAAAGGGATGAAGACTGGGGGTGTAGCTCAGTTCAAAGGCTCTGGGTTTGATCCCCAGTACCTCAGAAAAAGAAGCAGAAAATGAAGAATCAGTGGGCCTCTGTGTACGCACTGTGCAGCTCTTACTGCGCAGTTTGGATAAGAGGCAGACCAACTGTGTAGATACCTCCCTAAACCCTGAAATTTCTCATCACCTACAGTCTAAGGTCAGCCTCCTTGGCCCATGACAATTTAGTACCGTAACTGGCTTCAGCTTTTCATAGCCCAAGCATGCTGCAACAGCTGTGCCCCAGTCCCCGAGTGTGCTCAGCGTCCAGCAGGGCCCTCACAACCTTCCCCTCCCAACATTCGCACCCATGCAGGTCCTGCCCACACTGAATCAGGGCTGGCCTCGTGGCCAAGAGAGTAGAGCAGCAGCGAAGAGCCACGACTTCCAACCCACCTGGCGAAAAGCACTTCCACTGCTGCCTCGCTTCCTCCAGCAATTTTTTCTGGAGGCTGAAGGAAGTCAGCCACTGTGCTGAGGAGATGTAAGCGATCTTGGAGCAAAGTCATCAGGGAGAAGCTGAGGCCTCCATCAACACCAGTACTGTATTTCCCCCAAAGGAAGACTGAGTCTTAGATTCATTTTTACTCCAAAAGTTGCAGTAGGGCTTTATTTTCAGGGGCTGTCTTATTTTTTCATGTACAACAATCTATATATTTATTCACTTATTCGGGTGCAAAAATCTGCATTTATTCAAATACAGTCACGCCATCTTCTGGAACATCACCCTGACTCCCCAAACCCTGAGCTCCAGCCCGAGTATCTTGCGACTCCGTTACCTGCCGTCACGGTCGGAGGTGCCTGTTCTGGCCAAGGTGTTCCGTGCGCCCCGACAAGACTGTTTGAACTAGGTTGGCATCTGTCACGGTACAAAGCGTCCCTCCCGTTCTGGCCTGCCCCACACGGTATGTTGCACAATGCTGCTGTCCTACGTCTCTGTTCTCGTGTCCTTGCGTCACAAATAAATAATGGAAAGCCTCAGTTGTCTGCTGTCCCCTGAGGCTCTCTTACGACCAAGAAGCAGCCCCTCTGCGTTCTCCGGCTGCAGTTAAATCTCATCGCCGAGTAACGGGCTTCATCTCCTCCACAGCCATGGCTGCGCACCGCAACACAGCGCTAGCGGAGGAGCCCAGTCTTCCCCCTGAGTTACCCCCCCAGCCCGCCTTCTTCATTCATTCATTATCTAAAATCCAGATCTCTCGCTGAGCCGCCCAGCAGGATAGGCTCAAACTTGCAATCCTCCTCCCTCAGCGTCCCAGAGTGCCGGGAGAGAAATTTGCTGGTAGTTTTAGATATCTACTGTAACCTGCCACTGGGCACACCCAGAACGCCGTCCTTCTGCTTCTTGTTGTCATCGCAGGAGCTCCTACTTCCCTCCAGGGCCCAGGTCAAGCTGTCGCCTGCTCTGAGAAACTGCCTGATCCCCACTCAGACCCGAGCTCAGTTGCACATGGCTCCACTATCAGTTCTCACGCTGTGATCTTACTGTTTAAGAACGTAATTCTCCCACTACGTCTGACTGAAGTCAATAATTTTGAATCATCAAAGTGTACATTTCTGGGGCAGCCCACTTTCCGGTCCCCTTCTGTCTCTCTTAGACAGAAGCTCTCTTTCTCTCAATAATTTTTTCCTACTCTTAAATAAAAAAAGAAAAGTGTATATCTCCAGGCCGGGGATTTAGCTTAGTGCCACCACCTGCCTCGCAAGCTCAAGGTCCTGAAGTGGATCCCCAGAACCAAAAAGAAAAGTGTGTGTTTCCAGGATTGAGTCTGGTGTATGCTACATTAAAACTAAGACTTCATCTCTGAACAAAACAAAGGACCCATTCCACTGATCAGCAGCGCAGAGGGGTAGGAAGAAAGAAAAATGGGGCAGGGCTGAGAACATCACTTAGGGGCTGTTGGCCCCTCCGCCATCACCCACAGCCTCCTTTCTCTGGTCAGAAAAATGCCAATAAAGCCTAGATAAGCTATACTGGGCGGCTCCACAGTCTCTTTTGTCCTAAAAAACAAAAATTAGTCTGCTGACAGAAAAACATAAGAACCACTGCAATAGACGGCATGGTGGTGCATGACTATAATCCCAGCACCCTGGGAGGCTGAGACAGGAAGACCACAGTTCCAGCCCAGCCTGGACAATTTAATGATTTAATCTCAAAATAAAAAATAAAAAGGAGCTGGGGTTGTAGCTCAGTGTGGAGGCCTTGGGTTCAATCCACAGCACAGGAAAAAAATTGCAACAGAGAACAGGAACAAGGCATGTGGCCTGAAACTGGCTGCCAGGGTCACGACAGGCCAGAGAAGGGGGCTGGATCTTGGCAGCATCTGGAGGAAGGAACCTGCGGTTCCAACATCTCCTGCTCATAGACAAGCAGGAGGAAGTGTGTCATAACGGGGACTGGACAGCCACCAACCAGGTCTTTCCTCAGAGTCTCGACAAAGCAAGTTGCTTAGGCACTGGAGAGCAGGAAAGTCTCAAACTGGAGTTTCAGAAGAGGTTGGAGTGTTGCCCAGTTAGCACACAGGAGGGAAGAGGTACATTCAGGAAGGATTACAAAAGTAGAAAAGGGAGGGTAAATTCAGATACAGTCATGAATATGGGAATTAACCAGCTGATCTGAACAACACAACTAATAAGGCAGAACTAATAGATACATGTTGAAGTCATTCAGACATAGTTGTCTCAGAATAACTTTAACCACAAAGCATAGTTGACAAAAACAATCTAGTGTTATTCTACAAAAGGGCAGAAATCATACGGCACATTCGGACCACGCATGTTAAGGTAGAAACAGAAAGTACTGAAATATTAAAATGCCTAGCTCTTTTTCTCCACCTTATTTTTTATTAGTGCACAGTAGTTCTGCAGAACGCTTGGTGTCATGCGGTAGATTTGTACATGAGGATAACATACTTTGACTGTTTTAACTCCCCGTTACTCACCTTCCCTTTCCTTCCTCTGGTCCCCTTCTGCTTTTCTAATAAAAATGGAAATGTTAAGAACACAGCACAGATACTTAATACACAGCATATTTTAAAAGTGTTCTGGGGAGAACGGGCCGGTCCCCGAGGCTCGAGCCACCCTGGCCACTTTGTGGGGTTCGCTCTGGCGCAGGAGCCGCCGGCACTGCCAACACCCGGAGGCTCTTGTCGGGATGGTGAAGCCGTTCACTGGAAACCTGCCACGGGCAACCAGCGAGCAAGAGATCCGCTCACCCTTGGAGCAGCATGGGAAGGTGCTGGAATGTGACCTCATCAAGAACTGCAGCTTTGTGCACGTGGAAGACGAAACTGCAGCTGAGGGTGCCATGCGGGGCCTGCACCGCCACAAGCTGCACGGGGTGAGCATCGGCATGGAAGCCAGCAAGAAGAAGAGCAAAGCTTCAGCCAAGGTACACGTGGGCAACATCAGTCCTGCTTGGCCCAACTAAGAGCTTCGAGCCAAGTCTGAAGAGTGTGGTCCAGCCATGGAATGTGACATCGTGAAAGATTCTGCCTTTGCACACATGCCATGGGCAGAAGAGGCAGTGGGGGCCATCCGGGCCTTGACAACACAGTTTCCAGGTGGGTAATTGCGGGCTAAACCCTTGGGCTGCAGTCATGAATGAGAACTCACTCCGAGGTCCCTTTTGCTGGGATGTTTCCATTGCTTCCTGTTTCAGTAAAGAAAGGAATTTGTGCCCAACTATGTTTTCTTCGTTTGTTTGCTTTTTGGTACTGGGGATCGAACTCAGGTCTTTGCGAGGCAGACGACAGAACCACTGAGCTAAATCCCCAGCTGTGTTTTCTTTCTTAATTTAATTTTTCTAAGTTGACTTTTCTTCCCTCTTGATACTAGTGTCTGTAGCCTTTCAATCTGATCCTTATATTCTCAGCCTCTGAGCAGCCCTAGGTAAGCATTATGCTGGCCTCCGCTTTTTCCTATACAGTGGAACCCTCTCGTATCCTGCTTGTCCTTAGGAGCTGAGCCCTTCTCCCTGCCCCCTGCAGCATCTCCCTTCCCTTTGAAATGACGGTGTAGCACAAGCAGCCTTTTCTCTGTTAAATCTGGACTCGAACATTGAAGCCATTCTTTTGAAGTTGCTAGGACCATTGGAGGTCTTGCTTTGTTTTGTTTTTGTCTGGCCTGTGATTGTGAGACAGCATTAGCTGAAATTTAGCCAGGTTTTCTCCACTCCCTTTTTTTCCTTTTTTTTTTTGACAAATAAATATTTCTAACACTAAAAAAAAGAAAAAAACGTCTGGTCAACAACACTAGAAGGAAGCTCCAGAACTGGGTAATTCAGAGGCTTGGTGGCATTTTTAAAAGACTTGATAATTTCTCCCATGTCACTGCAATTTCACAGTTAGGATGAACTAACTGCACGGCTGGCTAGTACGTGGTGGGTGGGAGATAACGGAGAACTGAACCCAGGAGGTGCCAAGCTACACCCCAAGCCTCGTTTGTGTTTTTTGCTTGTCTGTTTTGTCTCTTAGGTTTTGTTTCCTTTTGAGACAAAGTCTGGCTAAGTTGCCCAGGCTGGGCTCAAACGTGCAATCCTCTGGCCTCAGCCTCCCAGAGTGCTGGGATTACAGGTGTGCGCCAGGCCTGGATAAATTCTTATGTACCACTACACAGTTTCTCCTCATTTCCCTTCCTTACACTGGGGGAGGGATAAACATGCATATAATTAGAAGGAAGAAAAGTGAAAAACACAAAATCCAGGATAATGGCACCTCTGAGGGGAGCTAGGAACTGGGATAGGGACACCCCTGAATACGTTCTTAGTGATAATCTACCTATCGGGTTAGGTATTGGATTCATACGGTGTTCATATGTTTAAATAAATAGATAACAGGATGAAAGAAGTCGTACATGGAACAGTTGGTGAGTGTACCGATGAAGGGTTCTGCGAAATCCAAATCGGCACGGGGCGGGGACAGTTTCTGTGCCACGGATCTTACATTTCCAGCGGCAGGGCACGGGCTGCGGGTGTAGCTCACTGGTAGAGCACTTGCATAGCACGCATAAGGCCTGGAGTTTGTCCCCAGCACAGAAAAAAAATGGGGCTGTTGTTCCAAACAGATGTCCAAACTACAGTTGAAGCAGTAATCTGGTCTCTCTTTTCCTTGGAAACAACTTTCTGCAGCTGGCTCAGTTTCCTCAACCATGAGATGAGCGGTGTGGGCCAAATCGGCGCTGGGCCCCTCCGAAGAGAGGACGCCTGATCCAGCGCAGGGGCAGAGCAGGGCAGGTCCCGCTTCCCGCCCCCCGCCCCGCAGGGAGCCCCGCCGGCGGCCTCTCACCCTGTGTCCTGCCCGCCTAGACACCTGGACACCTGGCAGGCCCGGCCACTCCTGGGAAATCTATCCTGCCTTTGACCCCGGAAGAGCCGGTGCCAGGCCTGATGCCCCAGGCAGTGATGACTCACACCCGTCCTGAAATGCCACTCCCAGCACCTGTGGGGCGGGGCCTGTGCAGCTCCAGACCCGGGAGAGTATAACCCGGTCCTCACAGCAGCCGAGGTTGCTTTGCTGTTGCCCGCCACCAGGCCTCTCCCCTTGTAGGGCCCCAGAGTCCTCAGGAGGCCTCCTGCTGAGTCCACTTTGTTCCCGTGAAGCCCTCTGAGGCTGACTCTAGAACAGAGCTGCAGGATGCGACTGGCACTGCTGGGGTCCCCTGAGCTACACATTTTCGCCTGCTCAGGGGGCTCCCAACCACTGTGGCTGCTTCTCCCTGGCCGTGGGCTCTCCAGAGCCTCAGATGAGGCCAGCTTGCAAAGATCGGGTTAGAAGGGCTGGGGAGTGAACCCCGGAGCAGCCCTCGGGATGTCTGGTGGGAGCACATGTACAGCGTGCAGGTCCCCACCCTGGGGTGGGGGAGCATTTTCCCACCGCTCTCCCTGGGATGAAGCCAGCCCGCTTTGCATAGCTCGTCTTGCTTCCCCACTCCTTGGCTGCTTTGTGCTTCTGGAACTGTGAGCCTTCGCCCTGTCTCAGAGCCTGCTCCTCAGAGGAGCAGACTGAGGCCTAAGAGGAGAGGTCCCCAGTCCTCCCTGAAGCCTGATCAGCAGCCCGGCCCTCGGCCTGCATGGCCTCCTCCACCTGGAAGATCTGACAGAGGAGTTCAAGTGTTTCCCAGACTCCATCCACCATTGCCACTATTTTTGCCACGAGCTGCGTGCCCTTTTCAGATTTGTCATACTACCTGCAGCATTTACCTAGTACATTTTATCCGTTCTTTTTTAGTTAAATTTACTTTTTCCACCCTAGATTCTGTTAAAAATCAAAATTATATATCAAAGATAATGCATCCATATCCAAAATTCCAAAGGTTCAATAATGTACACCGTAAAAAGCAAGCCTTCCTCCCAGACCCACGTCTCCTGTTTCTTCTCTAACTTTCCAAGACAGTGTAGGGCTGCACCCACCTGCCTGTGTGTGTCTCTGTGTGTGTTCTCTTCAATGTGTTTAAGTCAGTGTTAGCTGGGTACTGTGGGAGTCAGAGGCAGGAGGATCATACATTTCAG